TTCTTCTTTCTCTCCAACTTATGCTCTATTTATAGCAGTTATTTGAGAGAAATCCGCCCCCTCCATGGTGCAACAAGCACTAGGCTATCATGGAGGAAGCACTTACATGGTGGAATGTACACTTGCTTGGTGGGAAGAGCACTTGCACCATTGTGGGAGGTGCACTAGGCTGCTTATTGCTTAGTGTTGCAACACAATATACGGATTGAAAAACATCCGTTATAAACACGTATTATATCACGTTAATATTCACTATTAACAAATAAATTTGGTCAAAAAAATTAATTAATCGATCGATCATTTGACCAAATCCGAATCCAAAACCCATTTCCCATTCACTCTAATTTTAAGACTATTTCATCTTAAACAAAAACTCAACAGCTACTCTGTAAAGGTAAGTTATAAATTTGGAGACACGAGAAAATAATGAGCAAAACATAGGGAGGAGAAGAATACAGAGAGAATTCTGCTTATCTTGGCACAAAAATAATACTATAAAACAAACTATACACACACTCTTAAAAGAGCAGACTATATAACACGAACTCTTGCCTAAAACCTAGCTTATTACGGTTTTCACATTAAAATAACAAATTGTTCAAATCCATTAGTCAACTATTTAGGGGTTGACTGGTAGCTTTTTCTTTTAATCAAGGAAAACCAGCCACCTCTATAGTCTCTGCCACAATCTTTGGCACAGTCTTTGCTCTTCGGATGAACACTTTATGGTGAGTACTTTGTGTATACTGGGTAAATTCCCTAATGTGTAATAGCCTACAAATCACACAAAGGATGTAAACCGTACTAGGCAACCGCTGTGCGACAAGCTCTGCCTAGAAGACATTGAGAGGTGATCAATCTCAGATCATCTGTATGGATAACTGCTCTCCAAACCAACTGGCCATCACCGAAGGAATGACTTGTAACTTTTGCTCAAGTAATATTATTATTTTCTCAACCTAAGACTGCTCTACTTGTAGTGACTTTTTCTCATTTGTAAGTCATGTTAACATACCTAATTTGCAAAAGGCAAAGAAATTATTTTTAATGATTACAGTTACCAAAATATTATCCAAAAATCACAGAGAATCTTATTCAACAAAATCCTCACTATTTTCATCTACGTTATTCGAATTCACCGAAAATATCATTAGCTGTATGTTTTGGATCCTTCAAAAGTAGACCATTTTTGAAGAAGCCGACACGAGTACAACAACATTTTGAAGAGATCGCGCAACATAAATTTTCACCAACTAGCCAAAAAAGGTAATGCACACAACCATTTTTAATATTACTACATCTCTCAATTAAATGATCAGACCTTTCAAGTTTCAACCAATAAAGGCTAACAATTCCTCAAATGGAAGTTTTGGTAAACACATAGGATACTCCTAGACACCAATTTAGAAACTTCGTTATTCTCTCCGTTTTAAATTATCCGTCATTGAATAGTTGTCTCAAATATTTGTCATTATAGAAATTCAAGACTAAATTAATTTTTTTTTCTTCCTATTTTACCATTAATATTATATGTTCTTGAAAACTACAAGTACCTTAAGAATAAGCAAAATTTTAAATGTACAGAGATTATAAAGAAGAATAAAACGTCAAAAATTTAATATTTTCTTAAGAGACGTGCAAATGAATGAACAACAAAGTTAGTAATGTGAAGTTAACTATCTAACCTTTGGGGAGAAGTAAACTATTTTCTAGAAAAATAAGTTATTTTTGGTGTTTGATTGTCAAAAGAAAATTTCCACCAAAACTGAAAATTATTTTCCTTCACGATTATCTCAGCTCTTAACGTATAACTGCTTTAACTAACACTTCCAAATAATTATCAATCTTTACTACTCAACACTTCACCAAAACACTACCCAGTTCGCTAAACAGTAAATTCGATCGAATATCTATATAAAGATCTCAAAATTCAAAAAGATTTACCTGTAGAACTTGTCTCAAAGATCCACCACAAGAGCTCAACCAAATTCCATTATTCATACAAGAATGAATAGTCTCAAACTGATTCACATCAAGCTTCTTATTAACAAACCCAATCTGAAAGTAAACACTATCAGAAGGTGGCAAATCAACTCTAATTTCATTAACATTGAACCAAAAAAAGAATCTTTTCACTTCAATCCCTTTTAACTCAGTCATTGACCCAATACTTAGCTTTCCACTAATCTTTTCAGCATAATAAACCAAATATTCAAACTCTACATAACAAGGGGTCTTTAAAAAAACTTCAAAGTTTCCATCTTTATCAAGATTAAAGGATTCCACAGTGTCTGGAAAGATGCCACGTGGAAGCCCAAAATCTGGGAGAATATCATATATTGTCGGTTTTGGTTCTGGCTGTGGTGATGGGCTGAGTATGAAAGAGAGGGTAAAAGGGGTTAATATGAAGAGAAGAGAAATACCCAAATGGAATCTTGAATTGGAAGCCATGTTTGTTGAAGAAATTGAGCTTTGGAGTGAAGGTAGTGCTTTAGATGGTTGTACTTTCTGCTTAAAGAGTTGTACCTTAATTGGATGGGGGGAGAAAAAAAAAATAGTACAGTTTTATAGGTTAGAGAAAGAGAGAGTAGTTAGTTTTGGACTTTTGTGATGACATAGGAGAAAGAAGCCAAAAAAGTGCAATTTCTTGGAAGGTGGGAGTGTTTAAATTATTGAAATATTGTGGGCAATTTATCTCCAAAAGTTAGGGACATATTTAATTATTCAAAATTCATGTACTACCCTTATTCAAAATTAGGGACATTCTTAATAAAGGAATTCTTTAATAGTGTCTCGATTTCAAGAAAGTTTAGTTAATTATAAAAATCTTCACTATATACATCACTTTAGTTCGTGTGCCTAATTAAACACGTTCTTTTATATTCTGAGAGCTTATTATAAGTTGGCTAGTTTATAATAATCAATTTACTTTGACAACACCAAAGTATAAAGTATATTTTTTGAAAAACTTTCTCTCCCTACTCTCTCACTCATGCTCTCGGCGCATGTTAGCTAAACATACGCCGGTGTGTTCATGGAAGGAGAGCAAGGACGGGGATGAGAGAGAGGGCGAGGAAGACCAAAAAAAGTACCCATAGTTTCCTTTGGGAGCTCAGTTGGAGCTCGAATTCAAGGTGATGGAACTCCTAAGGCAGCAACAATGGCTTCCCCTGTGCAAATAGCTGAAGAGATTAGATCTGTGAAAACAGGATCTACATCAAACCTTAGTGGGATTTCAAAGAAGCTGACCATGAATGAACCTCTGAAGAATACTACAGAGGCAATAACTCAGAGAAATACAGAATCAAAGGCAGTGGAACTAATGAAACAGGGACTTCAGAGCATAAATCAACTAAACAAACAGCAGAGGCAGCAAAGCCGTTGAGTGCATGGACAAATCTGTTGAAAGGAAATAGGTATGCAACAAATGGTATGACACTATCCTACATCCCAATACAAAATTGTAAATGGCCAAACTATGGTGCAATTAGAAGCAGAAAAAGTAGAACCAGAGGAGGAAAAATGGAAGTGTGCTTTAATTGCCTACATCATAGGAGAGACACCAGGATATAATGCCATGAGCAGGTATGTTAGTCAAAATTGGTTGAATATAGAAGCATCAGATGTCTATTTGCATGAAGAGGGATATTATGTGATTCGATTCCACTCAATTACTGATATGCACACTGTTTTTTATGCTGGACCATACACCATTAGTAATCGACCTATAATTTTAGAACCTTGGACAACGGAGTTGGATTTCAATAACGAATTTCCCACTGAGATTCCCCTATGGGTCAAATTCCCCAACCTTCCAATGAGTTGTTGGAGTAGCAAATCCTTGAGTAGGATAGCAAGTGCTTTACGAACCCATTTGTTTGTAGATGAGGGTACCACAAAACAAATAAGGATATCCTTTGCAAGAATGTTGGTAGAAGTAAACATCAGTGATCCACTTCCTTCTGAAGTTACAGTGGTCGATCCAAAAGGCAGACACTTTCAACAAGTTGTGACCTATGATTGGAAGCCTGAGTTGTCACGACCCAAACCGATAGGCTGCGACGGGTAACTGAGTCCTACCTGTCAAACACCCCTAAGCATGCGTCTAAGATATGAACCTGAATAACACCTGTTGAATTACGAAAATAACATACATGAAGAAAACTTGTCAACAAGGCATATGTACGTATACATCCAGAATACAGTGGGCGAGCCAGCAAGACTGCTATAGACAACTATACATCCAAAATTGAAAGCCGACAAGGCCACATACAGCCCAACTAGACATACTGTCTACAGACCTCTAATAGAAGTACAAATGTACAAAGACGGAACTGAGCCATGTCATACCCATATATGCATATATATATATATATATGTGTGTGTGTGTGTGTGTGTGTGTGTGTATGTGTGTGTGTATATATATATATATATATATATATATATATATATACATATGTGTGTGTGTGTATATATGTATATATATGCATATATGTATATATATAAGCATATCGTACCAGAATCGAAAGCAGCTCCGAATCAAGTGGAGCACGCCAACTCTCGCTGATCAAGGATCATAATAAGGGGGACCCTCAGCTTGCCTACCTGCACCTGCGGGCATGAAATGCAAGCCCTGTGAAATAGGGCGTCAGTACGAAAAAATGTACTGAGTATGTAAGGCATGAAAATTAGTACGTAAAAGATATAGATGAAACATGGAATAAAGAAACACATTTTAAATTTGAATAACTTTGTAAATTTTGAAACATTTATAATATCATGCACATGCGTATAAATGTCGTGACATGCATAGGTATGGGTGTGCATAATATCATCAAGCCACTGAGGGCATCCTATCATATCGTCTCGGCCACTGTGGGCAACATCATCAACATATACCATCTAATCAGGTGGTGGTGCATATATAATGCCGTAATCTTTTTCCATATCTCATATACATATATTTACATATATACGCGTATATAACGCCATATGGTCACGGGTCGATACACATGTATAAATGGGTGAAATACATGAAAAATACGTAAAAATTTCAATATTCCTTCCGGATAAACTTTTTTAACTGCGTATTATTCTGAGACCCATGAACAGAAGATGATAATAATTCACATGGGGAATCAAGAATATAGACACCCCTAGTATTTCTATAAATAAAGTAATTTGTGGAAACTGTGCATTTGCTCGTTTCTTTAGTATAGTTTAGACCATGCCAAAAGAAAGAAGGAATGGCCTTAACATACCTAGAGTAGAAAAAACTCCGTATAATATTCTTGGAGAAGATTGCACCGTACTCCTTTAAAACCGTAAAAGTTTTACGTTGTTAGGCTTCTAAAAAGCCTCATTGTTAATAAAGTGTTAGAAAATCATAAATTTGAAATTTTGATAAGATGGCAACGTTCTACTCTTGATAAACTTCCTAATGTAAGAATTGATAAGAAATGATGTATCTAATACAATTGTTAAAGTTCCTAATGTAAGAATTGATAGTAAATAAATTGATAAGAATTGTAAAAGTTCCTAACACAATTCTGAGAGAAAGAATTGCATGGAAATGATGTGTCCCTTTCTTTGCTAAATGAGTTGCCACCTATAAAAATTACTTAAGAGTCATCTTAAGTTATATGCGGGGGCTGTCATGTTTTGGGAGAGGGGGTGTTAGCCTTATCCCATAATTTAATAGTTAACAGGGGAATGTCTTGTTACCCGGTAATTAATCAATTACCCGTATAATTTAAAAATTATCTCAAATTACTTAAAATTCTACTTATTTTAATATACTTTATATATACTTTATACATTATACTATCGTGGTCATATAGTACCTTATATGGTACTAGTTCATAATCATCGGGTATTATTGCTTAACCTATATTTTATCCCAAATTGGCCACTTTCAACGAAACTCGTTTTCTTTAATTCGTGTACCCTTTATCCTTCATGACACTTCTTTATCGCTTGTTATAAATAGCGTAAATACGTTAACATCAAGATGGTCTCATCCCTCAGTCTACATCAATTAACTAAAGACGAAACTTTTAACGTACGAAAACGCGAGATGTAACATGAGTGCTGTGGAATATGTCAATTAATAGGTTATATCTGCCATGAAAAGGATAAACAGAAGTTGCAACAGATCCCTCAACCCAAAATAAAGAGGAATACTAAAGCTGTCACACAAGAATGGAGGTGCAAAGGACCTACGAAAGCACTTTCAACAGGTGGTGATCAAGCAGAATCCTCTGGTGAGGGCAAACAACAAGACCAGCAGTATAATGAACAGAAAAGTACTCCTCCTGCTAATAGAGTGGAAGAGAGACCGGAAAAGAGCAGAGCGAAAGCTTTGGAAGTAAGCCCGGAGTTCAATCTACAAAACTTCCCTATCCTATGCTCTGTTCCAACCAAGAATGGGTTTGAAGTGCTACATGAAGGAAGCAGTAAAGTCCAAGGCCTACCCCTGGATAGAGGAAGAGGTTCCAAAATTATCTAATGAATTGGATATTTTGGAATGTTAGAGGAATGAATAAGAGGTATAAACAGAAGGAATTGAGGAATTACTTTAAAAATAAAAAAATAAGACTGGCAGGGCTTATAGAAACAAGAATAAAGGAGCACGATTCCATGAAGATTAACAAAAAAATAAATCCTAACTGGGAGATGATTACTAACTACCAAACTGCAGCAAATGGAAGATTGTAGTTGGCCTGGGATCCACAGTGGTGTAAAGTTAATCTGTTGAAAGCTGAAGCCCAAATTATCCATTGTGAGGCCATAAGCAAAGTAGGGGATCTGAATTGTTGCCTCACCATAGTATATGGTTTCAATACTATTGAGCACAGGAAATCGCTATGGGATAACTTGCGAGGAGCAGCAGTAGGTATCAATAAGCCTTGGCTTGTGGTGGAAGACTTTAATGCAATTATGTTCCAGGATGATCGACTATTTGGTAATCCAATTACATATACTGAAATTAAAGACTATTCTGAATGCGCACATGAATGGCTCCTAACAAAAATACAATGGGGAGGAGACTACTACAACTGGTCCAATAAAGCTAGGATCAGACAGAATTTATAGTAGATTGGATAGCGCTTTTGGAAATCATGAATGGATGATGGCATGTGGGCACCTGATAATGAAATATGATGTACCTTTCATATCAGCTCATGCCCCTATGCTACTGACATTAGCTTCTTCTAGCAGTAATATCAGGGTACCTTTCAAATTTTTCAATGTATGGGCCAATCATGAGGAATTTCTGAAGATAGTAGAGGAGATCTGGCATCAGTCATATACCACAATCAAGATGAAGAACATTTGGGTGAAGATGAAGTGTCTCAGACCAGTACTAAAGAGGCTGAATAATGAAGAGTTTAAGTTCATTAATCAGAAAATAGAAAAGGCCAGGCAAGAGCTAGCGATCACTCAAGAGCAAATACACATGAAGAGTAATATTGAACTATTGGAAAAAAAAGAGAGTTAATACAAAACTTGGAGAAATGGTCCATGGCTGAAGAAAGTGCTTTGTAGCAGAAGTCCAAGGCTAACTGGATCAAGCTAGGGGACTCCAATACTAAATATTTTTCAGCCCTGATCAAGGAGAGGACTCAGAGAAAGCAGATAACAGAACTTACATCACTCAGCAACAA